AGAAAGAAAGAAAGAAAGAAAGAAAGAAAGAAAGAAAGAAAGAAAGAAAGAAAGAAAGAAAGAAAGAAAGAAAGAAAGAAAGAAAGAAAGAAAGGAAGAAAGAAAAAAAGGAAGAAGTAGAAGAAGAAGAAGCCGGAAAAAAAAGAAAAAAAAAGAACCAATAGACGAAGAAGAAGAAGGAGAACAAGAAGAAGAAAAAGACAGAAGAAAGAAAAGAAAAAAGAAAAAAAAAAGAAAGAAAGAAAGAAAGAAGAGGAGGGAGAAGAAGGAGAAAAAAGAAAAAGATAGAAGAATAAGAAGAACCAATAGATGAAGAAGAAGAAGACAGAAGGAGAGAAAAACAAGAAAGAAAGAAAGAAAGAAAGAAAGAAAGAAAGAAAGAAAGAAAGAAAGAAAGAAAGAAAGAAAGAAAGAAAGAAAGAAAGAAAGAAAGAAAGAAAGAAAGAAAGAAAGAAAGAAAGAAAGAAAGAAAGAAAGAAAGAAAGAAAGAAAGAAAGAAAGAAAGAAAGAAAGAAAGAAAGAAAGAAAGAAGTAGAAGAAGAAGAAGAAGAAGAAGAAGAAGAAGAAGAAGAAGAAGAAGAAGAAGAAGAAGAAGAAGAAGAAGACGGAAATAAAATACTTTCATCCGGCAATGGTTTCCTATCGAGGACGGAGAAAATATTGAAAACCAACCGAAAAAACACTAAGTGGGGATATCAAAATTGGCTAAATGAAGTGTTAAAAAACAAAACCGGAAATCCTTTAGTGCCTACATTGTAACCGGAAGCTGCCTTTGACCATGAAAAGAGTGTTGGTGCAATTCTTGTTTATTTCGGGAGACAACAATTGTTTCTAAACTGCCCAGGGGCGACGTAATTTAGGGGCTATGGGGGTAGAGGTAGGGGTAGGGTAGGGGGAAGCAGGGCTCAGCTATGAACACTAGTTTTTAGCAGTGGGCACAGTGTTCAACTTTCCCTAGGAATTTTGCAAGAAACCAAAGTGCCCTCGGCAACCCCCACCCACCCCTCCCCTAAAAAAACATGAATAGTAGTTCTCTGTTTAAGTATTTTACAAACATTTTACAGTATTTCACATATATATTATACGTATATGTCTTTACCAGTCAGAACATAATTAGTTTTATTTAATTACACATTGAAACAAGGTTATGCCTCTTAAAACCCCCTCCCCAGGACAATTTATAAGAGATCGGAGCTCCCTCAATATTCTCTTTGTGAAGGGCCCCTGAAATTGTGCTGTATCTTAGGATCTGCTTTAGAAATAGGTCGGCGTCCTTGGCTAAGGCGTTGTGAACGCGCTTCGTAATAACAGGGTGCCGTGTTCGATTCCAGCTGTGGGCCTTGCGATGATTTCGACAATGGTATCGAGAAGCCGACTGCCAGAAAGCAATGGAAAACTACTTGATGTAAACTTGCCTAGAAGAACCACAACAGTCAACAAATTACTGGGATTGGTTCTGCAAAGTCCTGTAAAGGATACGCAGCTAACTATTTTTTTAAGAAATAGCAAAGACGGTTCTAGTGGGTAGTTAATAGCACACGACGGAATAGGAATGTTATCAACCCAGTCTGAAAAATTATATGTTATGCAACTCGTTGATCCTGATATACCTGTCAAAACAGCTCTCACACAGCACTTTCCACAAGGAAAGACAAAAAAGGGGCGCCAAACAATAACATGGAGACGAACGATGGAAAGTGACCTGAGTGCGGCATCTCTGACACGGAAAACTGCTCTGAAGATTGCACAGGGCAGGAAAGCATGGTAAGTCCTCTCGTAAGCCTTATGTGCCACTAGGCATAAAGAGAATTGATAATGATGATGATGATGCTACTCGTTAGCTTCAGCATCAACGGCACAAGGCTCTTAGAAACACTTGTGATCGCCAGCACGACATTAGCCACATAAATCATTCAGCCCTGTCTGAGATACATTCTATTCTTATTCTCTTATGTTCAACATCAGCTATGTAAAACATTTAGTCCTGTCTGAGATACATACTATTCTTCTTCTTTTATGTTCGTCATTAGCTATGTAAATGTTCAGTCCTCTATGAGATACATACTATTCTTCTTCTCTTATGTTCGTCATTAGCTGTGTAAATGTTCAGTCCTCTATGAGATACATTCTATTCTTATTCTCTTATGTTCGTCATTAGCTATGTAAATGTTCAGTCCTCTATGAGATACATACTATTCTTCCTCTCTAGTGTTCGACATTAGTCAGGCTAAAACATTCAGTCCTGTCTGAGATAAATACTATTTTTTCCTTTCTTGTGCTCGACATTAGCCTTGTAAAATATTCAGTCCTGTCTGAGATACATACTATTTTTTCCTTTCTTGTGCTCGACATTAGCCTTGTAAAATATTCAGTCCTGTCTGAGATAAATACTATTTTTTCCTTTCTTGTGCTCGACATTAGCCTTGTAAAATATTCAGTCCTGTCTGAGATACATACTATTTTTTCCTTTCTTGTGCTCGACATTCAGTCCTGTCTGAGATACATACTATTCTTCTTCTCTTATGTTCGACATTAGCCTTGTAAAACATTCAGTCCTGTCTGAGATACATACTATTCTTCTTCTCTTATGTTCGACATTAGCCTTGTAAAACATTCAGTCCTGTCTGAGAAACATACTTTTCTTCTTCTCTTATGTTCGACATTAGCTATCTAAAACATTAAGACCTGTCTGAGATACATACTGTTCTTCTTCTCTTGTCCTCGACATTAGCCTTGTAAAACATTCAGTTCTGTCTGAGATACATACTATTCTTCTTCTCTTGAATTCGACATTAGCTATGTAAAACAGTCAGTCCTGTCTGAGATACATACTATACTTCTTCTCTCATGTTCGACATTAGCTGTGTAAACATTCAGCCCTATCTTAGATACATACTATTCTTTCTCTCTTGTGTTCGACATTAGCTATGTAAATATCCCGTCCCGTCTGAGATACATGCGATTCTTTTTCTCCTGTGTTCGACATTAGCTATGTAAATATCCCGTCCCGTCTGAGATACATACTATTCTTCTTCTCTGTGTTCGACATTAGCCTCGTAAAACATTTAATCCGGTCTGAGATATATACTGTTCTTCTTCCCTGTGTTCGACATTAGCCATGTAAAACAGTCAGTCCTGTCTGAGATAAATACTATTCTTCTTCTCTTATGTTCGACATTAGCCACGTAAACATTTAGTCCTGTCTGAGATACACATTATTCTTCTTCTCTTATGTTCCACATTAGCCACGTAAACATTCAGACTTGTCTGAGATACATACTATTCTTTTTCTTTTGTGTTCAACATCTGCCATGCTCAGTAATTAGATTAAAGTTTTTTTTTACCTATCATACAATATGCACAACTCGTTGTTGGAAACTTCAATTTTAATATTTCGTTTAGACTTAGGGCAAAAAACAAAAGGCATCTAAAATTAAATTTCTGCTATGTAGGACATTCTGTGTTTTGTCTGAAACTATAAAAATAAAAGATATCAAAATCTTAAAATCACCAGTTATTTAACATGTGGTGCATTAATACTAAATTAACATAACCATTATTCTCATCGTCATTATTGTCGTCAAAAATATTATCGTCATCATTAATATAACAGAAGCCTTTATAATCGCTATCAGCATGGTCATCTTTATCCCAATCACCGTCCCTATGGTCATCAGGATATAATTACCTGCCAACTAGAGCGGGCAGTCATGGTTCTCTACACATCGCTTCACCTCCCGAAATAATGAATCAGTCCGGAATGTTGACATTTTCCTATGCCAAGGTGAAAATCTGTCCAGAATCTTCTCTCGTGGTCTTTTCCCACCTTCGTGTGCCTATTTTGGCCCGTTCTAGCATCCAATAGGTGCCAGTTATTTGCCTCTTCTGATGTCTGGCAAAGACCTTTGGAGTTTTTTGGGTTCTTTCGTAATAAGTGACCCCAGATGACGTCAAAGAGACAGTCACATATTTTATAGGGTGGTAAAACAGGGTTTCCCGGCTTTGTGGTGCTCTTAACTACCCGAAAACATCTAGAACTGGACCTAACCCCTACCCACCTACGCGCCACTAGAGATTACAGCCTAGGTCCCACGACTACATGCAGCCTATCTACCAACCCCTGGAATATTGGGCAGTCTGTTTGGGGTGACCTATTACGAAAGCACCGTTATCTGTAATACGACTTAGCTGGTGGTAATGACGTTTAACCCCACCAGGGCATCACACCGAGTGATAAACACCCGGTGACACAACGTGCCACCATTCGGATGAGGATCACTCGGGGACGGGTCACAGAAACCCCGTTCAACCCATAGGTTGGGTTATCTTAGGGCCCCCGACAACAGCCATGGCGGGGCTGTAAAATAACGAAAAACTGCTTTCCCTATTTGGATGGATAGACTTGAGCTCCTCTATTGCAATAAGTTCTAGTTATTTGTCTTTTCTGGTGTTTGGTAGATTGACTGACTGACTGAATTTCTACCCCACCAGGATATCACACAAGCGACAAACACCCGATGACACAATGTGATACCATGTGGATGAGGGTCGCCGTGGAGAGGTCCCAGAAACCGAGTTCAGACAACTGGCCATATTTATGGCCTGCCTATATTGCGGCCCCTGGCAAATGCCAGGGTGGGGCTTCACATAAAAGAAATTATCCTAAAAAGGACGAAACTGGATTAATAAGTTTGGCAGACAATTATGGTTATATTTTGTTGTTGTTGGTTGTAAGACTTGATTTACAGACATAAAAAAAATTATGAGCAGTTTAATCAAAATTAACCAGCTATTTAATTCTTGTTGTTTTAACAGTTAGTTCCCGTCGAAGCAAAATGTTTCAGCTTGACCCTTGTTAACAGTGCCTCTGAGTGACACTTGTAATGAGAATTAATTTACATTAAAAAAACGGCAAAAACAAATAATTAACATGAACGAAAGCAGTGAATTTATTAACTCCCTTGCTAGTTGAATTATCTTTCTATTGTCACCAAAGTAGGTCAGCAACTGTTCCAGTTAGCTGTGCACTTGTCAATCCAGGTCTGGTACGAGGGTACGTCGGTGACTAAGATTGGCAGCGACACTGCCGAGTTACAGTTGAGTTCGCCAATGACGCCGCCGAGAACGTAGATCCCGTTCCTGATGCAGCTGACGATGCCTCCCCAGTCAAACTGTTGGTTCAAACAGGTTCAAGGTCAGTGCATGAGAGAAAGAGAGAGAGAGAGAGAGAGGGGAGAGAGAGAGAGAGAGAGAGAGAGAGAGAGAGAGAGAGAGAGAGAGAGAGAGAGAGGGGGGGGGGGAGAAAGAAAGAGAAAAAAAAAAACCAAAATAACAATTTTAGCATATTATTGGCGCTAATGCGAGCGTTCGGAGGGTAACCTTCTTTGACTGGTTTTTATATTTATGGTCATCGTCAAGCGTTTTGCCGACTGACATGGGCGCTCAAGCCTCTCCACAACCTGCGATCTCTAACAGCATGTATAACTTCATGTGCTTGATAAACAAAAGGCTGTTGTAACAGGCCGACGGAGTAGAAGTGTTGCTTGTTGGCCTGTTATAATTTTGCTTTGGTTGCAATTGCGGAATAAATCTGGCAGGGTCACAGTTGGCTATAAAAGGCCGACGCACTGAAAAAAAGGCTATGTTGTCCTTAGCCACGTCCAGCTGTATCTTTCAGTCCTTCCAACTGGACCACGGTACAGTTTCGGGAAGTCCCCCTCGAAAATAGGTTACTGGCATCGTTTCCATGTTGCATTGTGTGACATCTTAATATGTTTACAAAGTCCTGTGTTCTAAACGTATTCGTATTACAAATCTACAAGCGGATATTGTAAAGTGGATATACAGCAATTTTAATTTTGATTTTAATTCACGGAAGACAGTCGTGTTGTAATGTGTGTGTCACTGTTTCTAGTCAGTAGTTCGGATTTCTGGGAACTGGCTGTTTATTACTTTTCTACTTTAAATGTAGAAATCTTACTTTTAGGGATAATACAAACAGGTAATTTAAAAGCCATATCTGGAGAATATCGACAGTAGTCAGGTGCAAACTATCTTGTGTTTGAAGAAAACTATTGCTTTCATATTGACTATGCATAAATGGTGCAACCACACTGTGGATAAATTGTGTCAAGATATTTCGGAGCTCTAGGTAAGTGGATGAAAATAATATTTAATTTACTAACTAACCTCTCACAGCAAGTCACTCTTTACCTCTTTACTAATTGTTGACTAACAGTATAATTATATGTTGTAGCAGTACACTAATAATATTAATCCTAAACCATTTGACTTATGCTTGGCGAACACTGGCTGTAAACTCTTGCGGAAACTTCTGGTAGTTCATTGACTTCTTTTGCATATTTGCAGTTCTACAGTCGGTTAATTTTTGTAAACTGGCTTTTGCTTTGCTTCGTGAACACTGGCTGTAAACTCTTGCGGAAACTTCTGGTAGATCATCGACTTCTTTTGCATATTTGCAGTTCTACAGTCTGTTAATTTTTGTAAACTGGCTTTTGCTTTGTTTCGCGAACACTGGCTGTAAACTCTTGCGGAAACTTCTGGTAGTTCATTGACTTCTTTTGCATATTTGCAGTTCTACGGTCTTTTAATTTTTGTAAACTGGCTTTTGCTTTGCTTCGCGAACACTGGCTGTAAACTCTTGCGGAAACTTCTGGTTGTTCATCCACTTCCTATGCATATTTCTTACCAAAAAATTCGCAATGGTAAGGAATTGGTTTCATCCAACAAGATGAAACTGGACAAATTTGTTTGTGCTGTTTGTACCTTGAGGATACATATTTAGTAGTGATATAATTACTGCTAAGAAAACTACTCTGGGTGAAAAAAAGTATTGCACATATCAATTTCATACTGATTGTGCTTGTTTACTAATTATTAAATAACAGTATAATTATATCTTGTAGTAGTCTACTAATAATAATAATAACCATCAATTATTTATATTTATGTTATGTATGATATGTGTATGTTTCATAGCAGTATTTGTATGCGCTAAATTTGATAAAGTACAAATGTCACCCCCCCCTCCCCTTTTCCTGCTTCTGTGATGCAACAATACCCTCTTGGAATCAAAGAGTTAGCACTGATATTTCTTTACTTTTGCTGGAACAACTTTTAGTTTTCCTCTTAACGTTATTGATGTTTATGTTCATGTTGACTGTAGCAAAAGCATTTTTGTTTGTCTGTAAGAGCCTTTATTATTATATTTATTCGGCACACTTATTTACCTTAAAAATGACGTAAAGTTCTATAAAATATGTAGAAAATTAATGAAACTGTAGTTTAATTTGTGTATACATCTCGTCGATTAAAAACTATTAACACAGAGGGACTCAATTCTTGCACAAGAACGGGAATCCCCGTTGACCCAGTTGGCCTATTTATATCTTAAGATGGCCGTGCCTTAGCCTTCCGCATTCTAATCCTACCAGCCACCACAGGGACAGATCGCCCTACCCATCGGCGTGGCGTAACCGCAAACGGTTTTAGTGCTACGTGGGTTCAGGGGACTAAGTGGAGATAGATAGATCAACTCGCCGATGTTGTGGTACGTTTTTAATAGAGAGACGGTGTTAGACCTAAATTGCCTTCAGTAGTCAGATGTGTTAGATCTAGATTTAAATGTGTATCATCGCTCAGAGATTTGTATTTAAAGGTTGCTGGAAGCAACCTCATCTTGGTTAGCTGGGGTGCTTAGTACATGGTCTGTGTGTTGTGTGTTCAGGAAAATAAACAGATGCTCATTGGGCGGTTATAATTCATTTGCTTGATTCAAGATAGAACTTGTAGTTCGTGAACCTGGTCTGCCTAAGCTTTGCTTATGTAGTCATCTGTTGCTGTTGTGTAACTCAGCTATTCGCATATTCATTGCCTGGGTTTTGATCAATATTTCATTGTTTTCATGGTCCCTGCACATAGGAATTTTTGTCCTTTTTCTGCCCCCCCCCCCTCTTTTTTCTGTAGTTCAGCGGAGAACTACTTATTGTCCTACCACTTTTCTTTCCCTCTCTCTACTGCTTGTTTTTCTTTTTTTCCCTTCCCGCTAGCACACTGTCAAGAATCTTTTCATGTTGTCTTCTTCATCTCTCTTTCCACAACTCTTTTCATTGGTCATAATACTTTCTAGTTTCCTTTTTCTAATAATATGCCTACAAAGTGATGACCGTCTCATTCTGATGTTTGTGATAGATTGTCTTTGGGGACCCGCCTCTTTTCAAACATCTAGGTTCAGGGAAGCCTATACAAAGAAAACTTCACTTACTAAATGAATGCCAAAACAATAACAACAACAACAACAACAATAATGTGCCTAATGGAAAATAAATATAACATCATATCTGACATATTATGAAATGCATAAACGAATACTTTTACAGATAATTATAAACATGCTTAAAGGGGGTTGCTTGAGTGACGTTCAACAACACTAAGACCACCCAACGAGCGACAAACACACGGTGAATGAAAGTGCCACCATTCGGATTAGAATTAACCGGTAAGTTCTAGAAACCCCGTTCGACCGTTAAATTATATTAGGGTCCTCAACGACAGCATGGGTGGGGCGTTAAAGTGATAAGAAATTGCGGTCCCGGATCGGGGCAAAGTACGAAAGGAGGATGTTGTACAATCGTTGGCGGAAAGAGGGAGGAACCTCCAAGGTAGGGGGGTAGTTGTAGCCCACCCGGACATCACACAAGCGATAAACACCCGGTGATACAGAGTGCCACCATGCGGATGATGATCACCCGTGGAGAGGACCCAGAAACCCCGTTTGGCTATTATGCCATATTTATGACCCGGCCATATTCAGGGCCCCCGACAAAAGCCAGTGGGGCTTAAAAAAAAAATTGCCTCCCACATGGGGGATGACTTTTGTATTAGGGACCTCAAAGTTAGGTAAGTATGTAATTGTGCTCCACCAAGACATCACACTAGCGATAAACACCTGACGACACAAAGCGCCACCATGCGGATGAGGATCACCGGTGGAGAGGTCCCAGAAACCCTTTTTAGCTATTACGCCATATTTATGGCTAGGCCATATTTATGCCCCGGCTATATTGAGGACTCCCGATAGAAGCCATGGTGGAGCTTCAAATACCAAAAAATTGCATATCACATGGGGACGGTCGGCGTCTGTGGCTTAGGCGTTGCGAACGCGCTTCGTAATGCCGGGTTCGATCCCAGCTGCGGGCCTTGCGCCTTGCATTGGTTTCGAAAGTGGTGTAGAGAAGCCAACCGCTCAGTAAGCAATGGCAAACTACTGGACGTAAACTTGCCAAGAAAAACAACAACAGCCAAAATATGCTGGGGTTGGTTCTGCAGCGTCAAGTAATGGATACACTACTAACAAAAACATGGGGACGACAGGTTAAAAAACCTCAAAAGCAATAGTAGCAGATATTTACCCCACTAGGACATCGCACAAGCGATAAACACTCGATGACACAAAGTGCCACCATGCGGATGAGGATCACCGTGGAGAGGTCCCAGAAACTGCGTTCAGCCATTAGACCATATTTATGGTCGGGCTATATTGCGGCCCCTGGCAAGAGCCAGGGTGGGGCTTCAAATAACGAAAAATTGCATCTACAGGTTCTAGCGCTCATAGGCTTGACACATTCTGGGTCATGACAAAGTGAAGTGGAGTGCAAAATTCCTTTTCTCGCCGCCTGTTTTCCTGAGACCATTCTCATATTTCTTCTTATATACGCAATGTTCAATCTCCATTATTCATATGAATACTTGTAGACCAAAGGGAGATAAGGCAGAAATATTTAACACAACTAAATAGGGAAAAAAAGTCATATATTGCCTCCCTTATTAGGTTTTAAGATGACGACAAGCCAGGAATTGATGTTGTCCTGTTTCATGACACTCACTTACACATGCCTACACACGAAAACACTAGAAGTAAGGTGACCATATCGGACCGTTTTCGCCGGGACAGTGTCGTTATCCTTAGGTAGGCTCAGAACGTCTAGTCGATTACCCCCTTCTTCCCACCCCCTCCCAATTATTTTCGAATGCCAAATAACTATATGGACATATGAAAGGTGGGATGGGGAACTAAAAAAATTAACAGGTACTTATAGAAAGATATCTTAAGAGTATTACACATAGCTCGCCAATAATGAAAAAGTCTTCAGTCTCCATGACACACATACAAACTAACACAACCCACAAAGATGCACACAATAACTAACTATAACTAACTAAATATAACTACGCTTTATCCTTTACGCCCTCCTTAGGACGTAATTTTTTGTTATTTGAAGCCCCACTCTGGCTTTTGCCAGGGGCCGCAATATAGGCAGGCCATCAATATGGCCAATTGTCTGAACGCGGTTTCTGGGACCTCTCCACGGTGATCCTCATCCGCATGGTGGCACTTTGTGTCATCGGGTGTTTATCGCTTGTGTGATGTCCTGGTGGGGTAGAAAGTCAGTCAGTCAGTACGCTTTCTTACTCTTTTCTATCTTTCTACTTCTTTCTAAGAGTGCCAATCAGTTAATACATTGCCAGTTTATTTATTACACACTATAACTAAGGCGTGGTTGTGTACTCACGAAACAAGCTTTGATGTGAGGGTTGGCAGCCTCAGCGTACAGTGAACCTGTAGGCGGGTCGACTCCCCGTTCAAACCGAGACCACAGGCCGGTGACCGTCTCGCCGTAAACAGTGATGGCGGCGTACCGTGGAAGCCGGGAGTTGGTTGGCTTGTCGATGTCTGGAGGGGAAGAGTTAAAACGTGGCAGAAAATGGGCTGTTACAGTCATTGTGGGATTCTTTTTGCTGCTCCTTCTTCTTGTGTTTTTCTTCTTCGTCGTCATCATCATCTTTTCTTTCTTTTTCTACTTCTTCTTCAACTGCTTCTTCCTCTCTTTTTTTATATACTTCTTCTCCTCCTCCTCCTGCTCTTCCGTTTTCTTCTTCTTTTCTTCTTCTCATCCTCCTCCTCTTCCGTTTTCTTCTTCTTTTTCTTCTTCTGCTTGTTTCTCTCCCTTTTTTTTCCTCATATTTCTTCTTCTGCTTCTTCCTCATCATCTTCTTCGTCCTATTCTCCCTTTCCTCCTCCTCTATTTCCTACTCTCCCTTTTCTTTGTCTCTTCGTCTCCTCCGCCGTCATCATCACCTTCTTCTTACCGCCCCCACTTCCTCTTCTTCTTTTTTTCATCATCATCATCTTCTTCTGTCTTCCCTCTATCTTATTTCTCGTCTCATCAAAGACGAGCACGACAGCAAGCACGAAGCAGTTATCTCTGTCCATGTTGGTGTTTTGGAGTGCAACCCGGAGCAGCCAGACGTGAACATTTCCCTTGTGGCAAAAGACTTCTGATTAATTAACACCAAACGGGCCTGGCCAGTCGCTTTATAAGGGATTTATCCACTGTGATATGATGACAGTCCTCAGTAATTACTAACCTTCTTCGTTTTTTTTATTCTACTTCTTCGTCGTCTTCTGCCCATCTTTCTCTTCCTTTGCCAACCCATCGCCAGAGACAAGAACAGGTCCCTGTATTTATCTTTTATGTATTAGAACATTACAACCAGTCCACATCAGACTTGGGGTAAGCCGTCGTTTGGCAGACATTCATTTCACGTCTAGACGCCACATGCGGTTTACGAAAGTCTCGTGCTAACCAAGCCAAGGGGAATAAACTCTTGATGCTTCTAGTCTCTACTTACTTTATTAGCAAAATTGGAATATAAATTACCAGTAAAATATACAAAAAAGAAATGTATCCCTTACGTGTTGTATGTGGTTCGTTCATCACGAGTGCATTTTTTTTAAATATCCAGAAACCATGAGTTGTTAACCCTTTGGCTCTGTACTATGGATATCGCAACTCTTCGGCTTTGATTCCATTATAGGTACCGTAAATCTGGGAGAAAATGTGGCTTTTTTGCCTACATTCGGGAGTGAACCCGGACCACAAGGAGTTCGTCACCAGGTCACCGAGAAGTCAGGATTAACCAACTACGCTAGAGAGCCGGGCATCACGAGGGATAAAGACCACTTTTCATCCACAGTAGTAATGATCAATGATTATGAGTACGAAGGTGGCCGATTAGTCCAGTATGAGCCCGGGAAGTTCTTGAGCAGTGCGGACAACAGATGGAAGCCGCAGTAAGTGTGTTTCTATCTTGTCTACCTCCTTTTCTCTACGCGTGCAACCTCCGCTGCCTGACAGGCCGATGCACCATGCCCGAGAAACGTACGCCATCCAGAACGGTCCTGTGCAGCAGCCTCCCATGTCGCTGTGTTGATGCCAAAAGAACTGAGAGCAATTTTGTGAATGTCGTTATAGAGCCTATTCTGTCCTCCATGGGACCTCTTCCCTTGCTGTAGCTCGCCCTAGAATACTCTCTTTGGGAAGTGATAGTCTGGCATGCGGGCTAGGTGACCAGCCTAACGCAGCTGATAATTCTTCAGTATCGTGTGGATGTTGGGCAGGTTTGCCCTATCAAGAATCATAGTGTTTGGGATCCTTTCTTGCCATTTAATTTTGAGCAACTTTCTGAGAACAAATTATATGAAACAGATTAAACTTTTTAGCATGGTGCTGATACACAGTCCACCTTTCGCAAGCGTAGAGTAGTACTAGAAGAATTACAGCTTTGTAAACCTTCAGTTTGGTCTAAAAAATCTACTGAAACTCCTACTTGTCTTTGAGATTTTAGCCTAGACCTCGTCCTCGATGTTGACTGTTTGAGATAGGGTACTGCCAAGATAAGTGGAATCTGTCCACTACATTTAACTTTTGTTGATTTACTGTCGAAGTGGAATAGCTCTAATTTGTTTTCTGGAAGCCGGTTGATAAATAACATAAAATCGACCATCAACTCAAATATCAAACTGACCTTCGGCTTGCCAACATAAATAGGCCTTTAACTTAACAATAAATGGGCCTTCCGCTTACCAAATGGGCATTCAAGTTTTCAATAAATGGGTCTTCAACTAACCAAGAAATGGGCATCAACTTAGCAAGAAGTGGGCTTCCAACTTACCATGAAATGGGCTTTCAACTTACCAATAAATGTGCCTTCAACTTACCAATGCGGCGTCCGTGGCTAAGGCGTTGCGAGTTTGACTCGTAATCCAACATACCGAGATCGAAACATGCGTGGATTTTTATCATGGTATGGGACGTCGCAGGTCGACCCAGCCTCAAATGGGTACCAGGATGGGCTGTCCTGGGAAAGTAAAGACGGCCGGCGTAATGCTGACCACATTACCCACCGAGTGCCGATTGGTCTGTAAAAATATGGGTGCTCTTCCCATATGCCCGATGCGCCTAAGGGCGTGTAAAGGGATCTTTACTTTACTTTTTACTTTACAACTTACCAATAATTGGGCCTTTAACTTTCCAATAAATGGGCCCTCAAACTTACCAATAAATGGGTCTTCAACTTACCAGTGAATGGGTCTTCAACTTACCAGTGAATGGGTCTTTAACTTACTAGTGAATGGGTCTTCAAGTTACCAGTGAATGGGTCTTCAACTTACCAGTGAATGGGTCTTCAACTTACCAGTGAATGTGTCTTTAACTTACCAATAAATGGGCCCTCAAACTTACCAATAAATGGGTCTTCAACTTACCTGCATACGGTCCCCAGCCCACCATCAAACAAGACTGATCCAGATCGCCACAGGCTGTAGGATCCGTGGCATACTTAGCGATCGGTCGGACACAGGAACTGAGCATGGCGCTCTTAGAAAGGCGGAGCAGGGCGATGTTGTTGTCTGGGACAAAGGGTACAGACGTCTCAATGAATATATATCTTAGTGTAGCAGCAACAAGTTTGGATAGATGGTTGAATGGGTGGTTGGTTGCTTGGTTGACTAGATGAATAGCTGACTTTTTGGATGGTTGACTGATTGTTCGGATGATTGGAACGAACGAACGAACGAACGAACGAACGAACGAACGAACGAACAAACTTTATTTTCAAAGGGTTGAGAATTGGGCACACAGGCCCGTCTTACATTCTGCCCTTCTGGCCTCACGCCATGCATACATTATTCATGCACACATTGTTTTAGCAGATAATAATAATAATAATAGTTTTCATAAGCATCACTGGATGAGTGGGTGGGTGGTTAGATGAGTGGGTGGATGAATAAGTGAATGGATGGTTGGATAATTGTCTGGCTGAGTGTTTGGCTGCTCTGGGTGCTTGACTGACTATTAGAGCACCCTCCTGGAGGGAGAGGGTGGGGTCACCGAATTACTTATTGTCGAAAATCAGATGAGTAAGTCTTGATGCTTTTATTCATATGTATAACCCGCTTAGTCACCCATTTTTGGATCCAGATCTTTCTTGCTCTGCAACGTATTTCATTGTAACAAACCTTGTAGTGTAGCTTTGGAAAGATATCTTAAAGGGGTTGAGTTGAGTTGATTAAAAAACCGATATCACAGCACTCAGGGCATTTCCCATAAGCGCCCGGCCCTCATCCTCAGCAGCCAGTGACGAGTTCCGATAATAATGTTGCCAGTAGCATTTTGATTAAACGTCCGTCTTGCCTTTCCTCTGAGCCTTGAGCATTAGCCAGAACCTCTCGTTACTCCCCGAGCATCAATCTCAACGTTGTTTGTTTTAGTATCCAGAAGCCATGAGTTGTTAACCCTTAGGCTCGGTATTCTGGATATAGCAACCTTTCGGCCTTGATTCCATTGTAAATACCGTAAATCTGGAAGAAAATGTGGCTTTCCTGCCTACCCCCGGGATTGAACCCGGACCACAAGGAGTTCGTCACCCGGTCTTCGCGTTTAGCCTACTACGCTAGAGAGCCGGGCCATCAATCTCAACAGACTGTGGTGATCCATCTGCTCCTCCAAACTGTACACGCTCTACCACAGGACACTAATCACGTTTGCCTTCCCATGCATCATTATTCCACTAAGTTGTATATCTTAAGCAATGAGTGAATGAAATGTGATCAGTAGAATGATCATCACAGCACTCCAGACAGATCCATAGGTGCTTTCGATCTCCTCCTGAAAAGCTCCACAAGTGTAAAACGACTGATGACGCCTGTTCTGTGTTGATTATTGAAACGTCTTGTCCCTTTAGTGAAATATTAATTTCTTGCAGCTGCAGGCTGCACCCCCATTTTAATCAGTCTAGACAGGGATACGGAGTCATGTCCTTTGTCGGCACGGTAAGTGCTGCCCATGGCATTGACGACAGCTCTTCTGTCTAGTACCGGATCTGCCAAAACAACCACAGTGTCTGAAAGATAATCTGCACGCTCGTTCCCTTGAACACCTGCATGACCAGGCATAAAGATTAAAGTTAGGGCAACGAAGAGATTATTGTTGCAATCTGTTCTTTTCTGATAAAACCAGCGATGATTTTTTTTAAGCATATTCATTGAGTCGCTAAGTATGCGAATAAATGAATGAATAATTCAGAAATTTACATCGTTGCATTCTAGGTATTTCCGTGCGTGCTCTTTCAATATCCAGAAACCATGAGTTGTTAACCCTTTGGCTCGGTACTATGAATATCGCAACCCTTCGGTCCTGATTTCATGATAGGTACAGTAAATCTGGTAGAAATGTAGCTTTTCTGCCTACCCCCGGGACTGAACCCGGACCACAAGGAGTTCGTCACCCTGTTGACAATGAAGAGTTCCTATTTTGATAGTTCCAGTTTCAGCCTGATTAACAGTCCGCCTGTCTTCTGCCATGCGTCTTAGCGCACTCGTTCCTGCAGCAAGGCGTTGTTGTCAAGTGGAAGTGACAGGTTCGATTCCTGACACGGGACACCATATCTTTCGATCTTTATTTTGTCTAGTGTGTCCTTCTGTCTTTCTATGAGGAATTCTCGGGAAATTTGACTAAAAAGCTTAACCAAATGGGGAAGCAGAAAAACGTGCACAAAACAACACAAATAACGTAACGTTTCGGCCACGCAGCCTTTGTCAAACTTGTAAACTACACAAAAGTAACAACACGGAGAGGAGAGTAAACAGATCTCTAAGGGGTGACGTAAGCAACGTTTTAGAAATTATGATGTGCAAAAATGAAATAAAATAAAATAAACGATGGCTAAAAAAATATAGAATAAAAAGTAATACTGTTAAAATACTATATAATAGTGGGAACAAAAGAAATACAAATGTTAATGATACATAAATGATACTGATAAAAAATAGAATAAAGTAATAATACATTTCCCTGGAATTTCTTGTATTAGCTTGACTGCAGTCATTCCCATAATTCCACATGTCTTTCTATGAGGGCTAATCTATCGATTCATGTTTTTTTTTTTAAAATATAATATCGATACCGGTGTAAGGATTCCCCATCTGTTTATATCTTCTCACTTGCACGCTGAAAACCGCACAACCCGTATGTCTCCTGTGTCCGCTTATTCAGTCTTTACAGTGGTAAAGTGAAGAACAATTTTCCAAGTCTTTAAGCGTATTGGGCATATAGGGCTAGACCTATATTTTATTAACCAATCGGTACACGGTGAGTGATGTGGTCAACACTACGTCAGTCGCCTTTACTTCATAGAAAGTCTTGGCTTGGCTTGCTTTGACTCCTGAAAAAATTGTCATGTTCAAACAGCATCCCCGAAGGAGGAGATTTAGGTTATAATTGTGACTAGGTTATGTGTGCCATATAAAATGATTTAGCATGGCTCGCCAGCAAGTAGCTCTGAAAAGAACTCTTGCAGAGTTGTCAAAGGAGCCGGACCAAAATTCTGTCCTGACCGGCGACGAAATCGTCTGCCGGCGAGCCAATGGGCGACCCGGTCAACGAGGATGTCCCAGTACAGTACACAAGGTCTGCATTTAAGGCTGGGTAAACCTGGGAGCCAAGGTCTTTTGTGTAAGAAGTCTAGCTTGGTCAGGACCTGATCCTATCCAACTTCCGGTCAGCAGCAGGTCAGCGCTGAGACGCTACAGCACGACTGCAAATGAGATAGCTTTACTTGACCAATGCCTGCCTGGAAGGGGTGTCCGTGGCGAAGTGGTCAAACCATTTAGTTCGCGCTCTGAAGGTCGTGGGTTCGTTTCACGGCGGCACCCTTCAGTTCACAAGTGCAATTTTTACGGAGATCCTATGAGATCGTCGCCGGAGCTATGCAGATCGTGCTATGTGCGGCGACTCTTGGCAGCAGCTAGCTGTTTTGCGGAGAGAGGCTGAGTCATATGGAATAAAGCCCGTTGCGATGAAGTCGATCCTCTCACCTTTTCCCTTTGCTAGCTTCGTGACGCGGACTCACCAAATGTGGGGGCCGCGTTAGCGCAGTCAATAGGACACTCGCTTTCAAATCCAACTGCGACTCGCTGCTGCCCACGGCCGGTGTTTGAAAGCGGGCGGTTCCCGAGGTTCACCAAGCCTCTAGAAAATGGGTACCAGAGTTAAGACTCTGGGGTAAACGGAGTAATGTCGCTGTAGCTACGGAGTTACGTGCGGACGGCGACACAGGCGGACAGTTTCTTATCAGCTGTCCGTACTGGTGACAGAGCACTTATGGTTTATAACCGTGTGCAACGACGCTGGTTCAAATCTCCCGACTTTACCTTTACTTACCTAATGTAAGGTTATTGAATAAAGGGTGAATCTTGATGGATTCTATGCTGATACGCTGCTCGTCAAAATCTGTCATGTACAAATCCCGTTCACCAATCACCGCTGTTATTGGGTTCTCGTTCAAAATGGCGATTCTGTAAGAAAGTAAAGGACTCTATTACACCAATTGTGCATTGTGAAGATGAAAAAGTAATAGTAAAGATCCCTTTTCACGCCTTTAGGCGCATCAGGCATATGGGAAGAGCCCCATATTTTTTCAGACGATCCTCACTAGGTGGGTAATGCGGTCAACATTACGCCTGCCGTCTTTACTTCCCCAGGACAGCCATCCTGGTACTCATTTTAGGCTGGTTCGACCTGCGATGCTCTATCCCACGATAAAAATCCACGCAGCCAGCAGTGGGTTTCGAACGCGGTACGTTGGAATTACGAGTCAGACTCGCCACGCCTAAGCCACGGCGCCATCGTGAAGATGATGCTGAGTTCATATTATGTATAGACCGAACGGGACTCGGTGAATGATGGGATCAACATCACGCCGGTGTTCTTTACTCCCCAGGACATTACCTAGCAAGCACTTTAGGCTGGGTCGAACTGGAAAACAAGGTTAATTTTGAAGTGACCCAAAAAAAAAAAAAAATCCGTCGCAGTTGGGATTGGAAGCCAACGCTTTCGGTAAAGGGGCATGTACTCAATGAAGCAAGTACACTGGTACCTCGGAATTTGAACATAATCCGTTCCGAAAAAGCGTTCGAATTTCAAATCGTTCGAATTTCAAGAAAATTTTCCCACATTGAAATTAATGGAAACTGAAATAATCTGTTCAAAATTTACTTGAAAATTTCGTTCAGATTCCAAGCTTTTTTAGTTTTTAGACGTTTGAATTCCGAGGCAACATTGCACACGAATCCTTTACAATTGAAATATAAAACCACTCAGTAAGTGCCTATTTTACCAGGGCCAACGCAAGTTTAATATCATGTCCTTCTGTTTACATAAATCGGAAGTCGAAGTGCGCTGTCCTTTCTTGCTTCTTCTTCCTTTGTCTTAATGCTTATGCCGTAAAGCGTTTCACAAAGATGTTAGATGTACTTTCCCTTCTTTTGCTAGTTGTGAAACACTCCCATAAGTGCTCCGTCCCCATCTTCAGCGGCAAGCGAATAGTTCCGTTTCCGTTGGCACCAATAAACGTCTGACTGTATATTCGTCTTATCCTTCACCTGTTGTGTGTTGAGTGTCGGCCAGATTCCCTGGTAACTCTCCGCAGTGCTTTTCTCCTTAGACCGTAATGATATATCTGCCCTACGCACTGTTCACTCGTTCCCAAAGGGCCCTCACAATATCTAACTTGATATACATTAATTTACCACTAACTGGTGCAGTGCCGGCCAGTCTATCTGGCTGCTAATTTCCCAACACACCAGCATTAACTAGGAGAAAATATTAAAGGATGCTAACTACCCAGGACTTCAGAAGTGATGCTTGCCACTCTGCACGAAGCATGCCTGTCTTCACCTTTCTCAACATGCTCTGTGAGTCAGTTACAATAAAAGCATGTGTGTTCAGCTAATTCTCAAGCCAGTGGAAGGCAGCAGAAACTGTCTCCACCTCCATTCTCATACTAGACGTTGCATAGTTTGTGTTATTGTAATACGTAGCTTGTGTTAATGTTATACTGACATTCTGTAGTGGCCCTTTTTTATTCCCCTTCCCCTCCCTACCCCTACAAATCTCTTTCTTTGTCGGTCTCTTACCTTGTAGCCTGCTGTTCTCATAAAGTATGCTCTAGCCCATTGCTAATTTGGTTCCATTCTGACCAAAGGACCAAACCATTTGATTCTCTGATTTTATAAGAAACATTCAATATGACTACCATTGTCTTAGTTCTTCATTGATGGCTGTCTCTTCTTGCATTTCCCACCAAACATTTATCATACATCTCATCTCACATGTTGCAATTTTGCGTTTATTTTTTTTCTCTTGTTTACAACGAGTTCACAAGATGAAGCGCAATGGATGAGGGTTGGTATTTTCGACCAGTCACCCGAGTCGTGTTTGCTCAATTTTTTTGTGTCACTGTTATTTTCATTAGTCAGGCCCATCATTCACCTGAACCCACAACTATTCAACACTGGGCATATGGTGCTAATTTAATCGCAACGTACAACTTATTCTGTCAACATTTACTAACTTTTTCTGACCAAAGGATCGCTGGGTGTATTTTCAGGAGTAAGCCACATAGAAGCACAGTATGTTATGGACTGGTTGAAATAAAATTTGACGGAGAATACTTCAGAAACCTAGCCAAATATTGCAACATGTAGCACCGATAATGAGCAGCGGTTGAGCGAACGATTAGAACGCTGGGCTCTCAAGCGGGACACCCGGGTTCGAATCCTCAGTAAGGCTGGGATTTTGTGTGTGTCTGGGGCAAAATAAAATTCTCGCACAGTCGTGGCGACAGCACTAGTCAATCCTCAGGCTCAACCCACTTCTCCCCGCGCCTACACATCAAAAGTGGTATAATTAGGGCAGTAATTGGCAGTTTGGCAGCACGGTAAATGCTGCCTGTTTGGAGGTCACAGACCCGTGTTCTTTCATTGCAGATACGAACTTCAATAGTAGCTTTAACTACAATCTTCTGGTCTGAAAGAGCTAAGAAACATTTTTGTTAGCAGTAACCAGGTTTGCCTACACTTCTTGACAAGGATATTGACGATAAAGGAACATGTTCATCTTAATTTCCAAAGGGCGTGTACTCTGTGAGATACACGGCTATAAGCGAGAGTAACCGGGAGTACATACAGTTTTTGGCCAGCTACACGATGATGCGGAAACTGACGTAGTGTAGTGGCTAGACGCTGGCCCGCGGGTTCGAAGGTCGTGGGTTTAGGTCTTGACGGATCTGGACTATCCCCCCCTCCCCCACCCTTCCCCAAAAAATGACCTTGCTTCCCATGTCAACCCAGTCTTAAATGGGTGCAAGGTACAGTCCATGAAAGTAAAGGCGGCAGACGTGCTGACCACATCTCCCACCAAGTGCCAAATGGTCTATGAAAATATAGGTCTAGCCCTATATGCCCAATACGCTTGAAGGCAAGGAACAGTTTTCTGTGATTAAACATTTTTTTTTCTCTCACATCATTATGCGGTAATGGAAGCAACCCAGAGTTCGACCACGAAGGGCACCGAGATCGCTAATAGTAGCATCCACGTTGCCCATTCCACGGCTGGCACCCGAAGCCTCTTCAAAACATGACGCTGAAAGGCATAACATGACTAGGAAGAAGATGACGATGATGATGATAATGATGATGACGATAATGATAATCACGATGATGATGACGATGATGATAATCATGATGATGATGACGATAATGATAATCATGATGATGATAATGATGATGATGATGACGATAATGATAATGATGATGATGATGACGATAATGATAATCATGATGATGATGAGAATAATGATAATCATGATGATGATGATGATGACGATGATGATAATGATGATGATGATGACGATAATGATAATCATGATGACGATGACGATGATGATAATCATGATGATGATGACGATAATGACAACCATGATGATGATGACGATGATGATAATGATGATGACGATGACGATAATGATAATGATGATGATGATGACAATAATGATAATCATGATGATGATGACGTTAATGATAATCATGATGATGATGACGATCATGATAATCATGATGATGATGAGGATAATGATAATCATGATGATGATGATGACGATAATGATAATCATGATGTTGATGACGATGATGATAATGATGATGATGATGACGATAATGATAATCATGATGATGATGACGATGATGATAATCATGATGATAATGACGATAATGATAATCATGATGATGATGGCAATGATGATGGGACAGGACAACGATGACGACGATGACGTTTGACAAGCAGCACAGATACTCACTGAGACACACAACTGCCGGCAGTGACCAGGACAGTCTCCGACAACATGGCGGCCGAGCAGAACGTGAACGCACCGGAGCTGGCCTCGAACTGGAGGGCCACCATGGAATTGTAGGGCGGCCGGCATCTGTCCTTGACCTCGGACCCGCCAATGATGCGTGGGTGGATCACGGAAAGCGACTCTGCAGTGAAGGGGGATAGGGAAGAAAAGCAGAAAAAAAATTTGGCCTAGTGTAATGGTATTATCATCACCATCTTCATAATAATTTTGAACCAATCCTCATCATCATCACCATAATCATTATCATTATCTCCATAACCATCATTATCACCACCATAACCATCATGATTATCACCATAATCATCATCGTTATCATCATAATTATCATCACCATAATCATCATCATCTCCATTATCACCATAATCATCATAATGATCATCATCACCATAATCATCGTCATCAGCATAATCATCATCATCATCACCATAATCATCATTATTATCACCATAACCATCAGCACCACCACCATAATCATCATAATTATCACCATAATCATCATAATTATCACCATGATCATCATCACCATAATCATTATCAGCACCATAATCATCATCATCACAATATTCATCATTATCACCATATCATCACCACATTAATCATCATCACCATAATCGTCATCATCATCACCATAATCATCACCACATTATTCATCATCACCATAATCGTCATCATTATCACCATAATTATCCTCATCACCATAATCGTCATTATTATCACCATAATCATTATCATCACCATAATCATCATCATTACCAGCATCATCGTTATGGTTATCACTGTTAACGTTATTGCGATAATTATGCTGCCTGGATGGATCGCGGAAAGCGAGGCTGTATGGGTAGGAAGAACGATAAAAAAAAAAGGAAATGAATAAAACGAGGTAGAGTAAAAGTTTACAACATTTCTTCTATCAGTATCATCACTATTAGTATCATCACCATTAGTATCATCTCCATGAGTATCACTACCATCATCGTTGTCATTATTACCTTTATCGAGATAGCACGAGCAATGTCCTCATTGTTATTGTAATATCAGCAGCCGCTGCAGGGTAAAAAGCTTTCGGGTACATATTCAAACAGGAGAGAACGGTGATGAGGGGTGGAGTTTCCGGAAAACGAGGCAGAGGTTGGTCTGGTAGTCTGGTCTGGTAGTCTTAGTTTCAGCTTCATAGCAAACGGGTTGCCCCATCTTTGCTCCGCTCCTGTGCCAGCGAAAAACACGCAGAATGTCTATCACAGTCCCTTGTGGAAAGATTGACAGACTGTTGTCTCAGCATATCTAGCATACACTCGCATTAAAGCATATGGTAGCCATCCGAAGTGCTAACACAAACAGTCCAACATTAGAAATGCAGTTCATCATTGATGATAGCAGAACTTGTCGTCAACAGATCAGCAGTTGTCCGCGTGATCAATTTTAATACGGGCCCCGCCAGCATTGAACGACAGGCATCGCGCCATTTTCTGAATCTACAATTCACACCACCACGTTGGTCACAGTCGAAAAAAAACATTCCAAATGCAATCCGCACTCTCCATGAGAGTGGATACCAGACAACAAAGAAGCATTGGCTACGAGAGCACACGAGGGTGGACAACTGGCTAGACCAGTGCCTTTCAAGCTTGCCAAAGCGGCGACCCATTAATACAGTTCCTCTTGTAGTGGCGACCCTTAACCATACAATTATTTTCGTTGCTACTTCACAATTTCAGTGAATATGTTTCCTTACGGTCTTTGGCAACCCTTGTGAAAGGGTCGTTTGACTCATGAAAGGGTCGCGATCCACGGGTTGAGAACGGCTGAGCTAGAGAAAGATAGCATTTCAGGCGTGCCTTGGGTAGAGCGGCATTCTGGGGAGGACTTCCTGTTTGACTGACTGACTGATTCAAACAGGGTGGATTTTTTTTTTTAAATGTACATTTTTTAAAAAGGACTTTGGCTCTCAAGTTAATGAAGCCTTTTGTTTATTTTACTTTAATAAATCTGTCCAGCACCCCCCCCCCCCCAATCCTCCCCTCCGTTTTCCTTTCCCCATTTCCCTCTTTTCCACACACATACACTTAAAAATTTCCCTAGAACACTCTTCATGTATATTTCTAAGTTACAAAGGTCGCATGATATAAGGATGAAAACAAAATGAAACACTGACAAAGAGAAACGAAACAAATATCTGGATTAGGTCATTAGCGTAAGAATCATATAATACTCGATGGAAGTCATTTGGAAAGTCAGATAATAGCGTACTTATTGTCAAAGGTTTTTTGATTTGGTTGAAAGTAATTGGCGTCTAGATCAAGTTTTACAACAAAGTTGAGCTAAAGAATAGAAAATATGAGACGAGTTCAAGGTCGGAGCTGATTACTAGAGAAGTGGGACTCTTGGGTGTGGAGAGTTCATGCAATAGGTCACAAGGTTGCAAGAGACTGAGGTTCTTCTTCTTCCTCCTCCTCCTTCTTCTTCTTTTTTCTTCTTCTTTTTGTGTCTTGCACTTAGAATTCCAGACGCACACCATTGTAAATTCAAGACACACAAATAACCCAATGTAAATACCAGAAATACAAAAACGCAGAAAACAGTTGTCCAAACGATATCTCATACCTGATGCTGAACTCAGTCCAACAGCTTCATTTGTTAAGAGGGACACCAGAGTCCCACACAAAACGAACATCACACCGCTCGACGGGATCATTCTGTGAACGGCAAGCAGTGCTGGGAGTCAGGTTTAAGCTAAATAAGCTACAGATTAGGACTTGAAAATCTGCAAGAGCCTAAACAAAAACTGCCTTTAGTTTTCCTCCACAAATGCAGTTTCGTTTTTATAAACGAAAATTTCTTTAAAATATTTAAAAACATTATCAAAAAATATAAAATGTTGATAAGACCAATCGTGTCAAATGGCTCTGAAACTTGGAGCACAACTAAAAGAAAAGAAGCCTTATTATAGGTTTTAGAAAACAGAGTCTTACGACGAATCTTTGGACCCATCAAAGATGCAAACAGCGGTAAATAGAAAGTGAGAAGCTATAAGGAAAGTCATAATCTGTTTAAATCACGACTGATCACTGGTACCATGAGCTGATGGAATGAAATGGTTGCGACATATTAAAAGAATGTCAGATGACAGAGAAGTAAAAACTGTATACAACAGGGAGATGAATGGTCGTAGACCACGAGGCAGATCAAGAAGACGATTGGGGGAAAGGGGGGGGGGGGGATAATGTCCAGACAGACCTGCAAACACTTGGTGTTACCAAATGGAAAGAGAAGGCTAACCAGAGAGATGAATGGAGGCGGGTGATATCTGCAGCAATGAACCTCAAGGGATCGGAATGCTGAAGAAAAAAGAAGAATCTTTGAAATCATTACACCATAAATTATTAAGTTGCTGCTTAGAGTCTTTTTTTTAAAGGAATATATATATTTATCGTTCTCCAGCTGTAAACTTGGACAGAAAGACCTAGTTTGTTCGTCCATTTCTGGACTTCACTTTGTTCCAGGATCTGAGTCTTAAATGTGCATCCGTTTTACAGATACTGTATGCGGACTGCTGGGTCATTGCCTCTTAGGGAAATGCACTCTGACTTAGAAGAAAGCCATTAGTCGCATCTTACGACACGCTTTTTGGGGGGCAGTTAGCCTTTTTTTTTGCTCTCCACTATAATAGGGTCCCGGAACCTACACGGGAATTCTTCTTCTTCTGCCTTTTTATCCCCCAATGGAGCATAGGCCCTCAACCAACTCACGCAAGTCGTCTATCCCTCGCCATTACATGGAGCTCTCCCCATGTCCTCCCAATCTTTCTAACCTCATTCTCCAGCTCTCTTCTCCCATGTGTTTTGGCCTTCCTTTATTCCTATGCCCCTGTGGGTTCCAATGCAAAGACATTCTAGTTATGCTGTTCTCCTTCTGTGTTTTCTCAGTGTGTGCCCTATCCAACGCCAGCGTCTTTTCCTCACCTCCTGATCCACGGAGCCTGTTTAGTTCTCTCCAAAGTTCTAACATTAGTTATTCTATCATACCATTTTTATTCCCCTCTATTCTGCGCAGGCACCAGTTAATGAATGTCTGTAATTTATTAGTAATTGCCTTCGTTGTTCTCCATGTTTCCGCCCCATACAATAGTACTGATTTGACATTTAGAATTAAAAATTTTTTAGTTTAGTATTTCTTTTAATTTCTTTTGACCTCCACAAATTCCCTAGTGCTATGAAAGCCCCTCTTGCCTTTTGTATTCTTATTTTAATATCTCTATCAGTTCCTCCATCTTTATCTACATTACTGCCCAAATAGGTGTACGACTCCACGTCTTGGAGTGGGGTGGCCATCAAGAGAAACCACATTACTATTTGCCTGATTTATTCTCATTATCTTTGTCTTTCCTTTATGGATTTTCAGACCAAGCTGCTGTGATCTCGCATTAAGTATATTTAATTTATCTTGTATCTGATTCCGTGAATGGGACAGAAGGGCAATATCATCAGCGAAGTCCAGATCATCAAGCTGTTTTGTAGGGGTCCCACTGAATTCCATTCTTGGTGTTAGCAGTTACTGTTTTCATAGTCCAGTCTAGCCAGTAAAAATAAGAGAGGCCTCAAAAGACATCCCTGTCGCACACCTGTTTTTATTTCAAATGCATCTGTTAGCTTTCCCTCATGAAGAACTCCACATTTCATGTCTTTTATATGTTGCCTTTACTAAGTTAATAATTTTATGTGGTATTCCATAGTTCCCCATCAATTTCTAGAGAAATTCCCTATCAATGCTGTCAAATGCTTTTTCATAGTCTATAAACTCATTGTAAAGTGGTGAGTTCAGTTCAATGCTTTGCTCTATTATAATACCTAATGTGGCTATCTGATCAGTACAGGATCTGTTGGACCGAAAAACCCGCCTGCTCATCTCTTAGCATTTTATCAATAGCATCTTTTAATCTTTCCAAATAATTCTACTTAATATTTTTCCAGGAACTGACAGCAACATAATTCCTCTATAGTTTTCACACTCCTGTAGATCACCTTTTTTGGGCAGTTTCACAAGATATCCTTCCCTCCAGTCTGCTGGTATTTCTTCGGTCTCCCAGACTTTACTGAATAATCTATGTAGCAATTCTGTTGATGT